GGGAAATGCGATTGGTTTTGATGTCTGTAGGCAGCGAACCAATCATGGTGCCAACCGGATGCCAGTTCCACATACAGAGAGTTGAGTTAAATAGGCAAAGAGTAAACCCTCCACTAACAACTATCCACAGTTTTCCAATGCAAAAGAGACCTGACTTACGCGAAAGTGAATGTATGTCGGCGCGAGAACAGCTTGTACTTCGTCGTTATTGGCTTCACGAGAGAGGACTTTTCCAACCTACAAAGAAGGCCAATTTCCTCGAAACCACCAAAATTTGTGGCAAAAAGGAAATGACCAAAATCGAACATACAAAACTTATTTGAGAAAAGCGTACAAAAGGGTGGTGTGGGAATAGCATTGGTGATGTCGAGACTGATTAACAGGTATGAGAATGACTGGATGACACACATTAATTTGCATTTCCTGAAGTTTGTTTCGGTTCCTTTTTTTTCATCTAATCAAGTAGAGGTTAAACTTACGTGAAAAAAAGCTTCCTCTCGAGAGCCCAGCTCCATAATTCTGAAGCAATCGCTCGCGACTCGCATTTGTATTCAGTTATCTCATGGGCAGGCTGTAATTGTGTAAAACACAAGCGTTAGTAGCCCCGCATTACACTCTTCTGCCATGGATCACGGGTTGCAAAGGAAGGAGGATTCAAGGGAAGCACAACTTAACGAGGATTAGTAAGTAAGTTTTACTCAGTGATTCGGAAAATGTTAGGGCATGGTTTCATGAGAGGAGGGGACAACAAAGGCAAAAAATTCAGCTTATAGGATCTGGTAAATGTGGTAAATGGATTCCTTACAAATGGGGCAACCCAAAGGTGCCATAAATGCTAATTGAGATGGCCTGCATCGAATGGAGAGGAATTTACAATGCGAACTTTCATTATTCAAAGACAAGGGGAAGCACTGATGGGCGTCAGTGGACAGAAAAGTGTCCAGGATGGTGTTGTATGAATGACAGTTAAAGCTTCCATTCAAAACAGTTCAAGGTTTCACAATTCAAAACTTAGTTTTCAAATACAGATACAGTTTTTACATACAAATTATTCAAATCATGCAAATACGTGTGTCCTCTCGCTAGAGGTAATCAGGTGGCTGGAAAATGTGGAATTTCAGGTCGTTAAATAGTTATATTTCACTAACTTTTCGAGTTTTCGACGCCTACAAAGAATGGAAAGAAGCGGTTAGGTTGTATTTACTAAATAGGAATCAAGATAACCAAAGGAACATACGGCTTTTTGGTGGCTTACAATGAAATTCTTTCCAGAATAGAAGAATTGATCGATTTCGGCCCTAAAATGAAAAGAGTGGCCCAAAACTGTTGCTTAAAACCCACATCAGCAAATGCCGTATGCGTGGGTGCCATTCAATTCTGCTCACACAATCTTTCCTGCACCTTTTATGGACACTAATAAGCAAGTGTTACGTCGATGACAATAGCTTTAAAGTCTAGCAACTTGAACATCAATTCGGATAACCGTTTGACGAGGTCAGATTCCGTTTCCACAAATTCATCCACGACAAAGTGGCATTAAGGTAGGATTCTCTAGCCCTTTTTATGGTTGTGTAGTTTTAACCAAAGAGGGGCAGCAAACCCTACTTGCCCTCCCCATTGCGCACACAGAATTCGCAAGTTAATAGACTACTTCTCCACTGGACGTGGAGGTGCGGGATTAGGGCAAAGGATGCTTGTTGCCAAAAAAAATGAGGAAAGAAGCAGATCAGTTTTAGTGCGTTTAAATGCAACTAGGCGTTGCCGAGAGACACGGAATGGAGTATCTGCCTATTTTGCACATAACTTCGAAGTACTCTTCCAAAGCGGCAGGTTATTTGCTACTCAGAAAAGAAAGTTAGGAGGAATTGTTTAGGGAGACACTACGCAAGCTTAGACAAATGCCACTGGCGTTGAGGAGTTGAAACTTGGACGAGGGAAAAGGCGTTGAAGAAAAATGTCGGATTACCATGACTTTACGTTTGAAAAATAACGTTTTTTTTCTTCCCTCATTTGCTGCTTTAAGGTGTGGACGAATCGCCATTCACTAAATCAACC